CCAATGAAGGGCTGCTCAGAACTCCGTAACGCCTGGTCAACGGGGCTCTGGTGAAGCTTGGAGGGCTAATCACCCACTAAGTGGATTAAACTGATTACAGAAACCATATGAAGTAGGCACAAAATCACATCTGTCTTGGGTCAGGAGAACGTCTTCTCGGAGACTAGTATGACGCATCGTGGTAAAAGCCGAAAGGAAGCTACGAGGCCGACCCCTCTCCTTACCCCCCAAGACAATAACATTGTTCGGTACCTGGAATGTCAGGACTATGTATCCTTTCTTGCCACGCCTCAAATCTCTCCCGCCGGCGAAGAAGTAAGTCAAGGTGAGAAAACTATTTTATGAAAAACATTTTAGGGCCACGGTTTTAGCTAAAACCATGGCCCCCAAAATATTTTTCTCACCTTGCTTTACACCTGTTAAATTTTTCACATAATTTTCACAACTTCGCCTGTTCCCGTTCGTAAGTCCGGCCAAGCCTTTACGGTCATCGGCCCCTGTAACCTTGGCTTATAAATACAGGCGTTTAGTTATACTTGTAAAACTTCCTGCAGAAGTCTACGACAGTTAGACAAAACGCGTCGGAAAATAAAAGAAGTTTTACAACTACTGTTCGCAGAAGTGCTGCTCACTGGTCTATATTTAAAAAAAAATTAAAAAATTATTTAAAAAATTGTTCACTGTGAATCACTGAGCGGCGTCTGAAACGGTCTGAGCCCGAGTCTGGGGTGCACCGGAACCGGAAGTCACATTGTAGGCCATGTCTAGTCTAGTACCAGTGTACACGTTAGCATGAACCACACGTTTATTTTAATTTCATTCTGGATTTGTTGCGTTTTTTCTTGTAGACCAACGGCTTCTAATTAAAAAATGTATTTTTTGGACTTATTTCTAATTGTTTCAAAGAGCGTAATTTTTAAAAAAAAAGGGGCATAATTTGAAAAAAAAAATATAATTTTAGCATAATTTCGCCAAAAAAGCAATGCTACTATCATAATATGCTACTTTTACTAGCATAATCTATAAAGGCCCAGGGAGAGGGGGAAGGCAAAAAAATCACAGATGAAATTGAACTGCTTTAACAAACTCATGGCTTCTACCAAGGTGGTTGTCGAATGGACATAAAATTGTGACATAAAAATGTTGATCTAATAAACGAGTTTCAGGAAAGTTCCTCTATCATTTTAGCTACTTTCTTCGAGTTCTACTTGTTAAAGGAGGGCTTTCCACTCCTTCCCCTTTACCAGATAACAAATGTTCTGTTTTAAAACAGGCAAGAATTGTTCCCTACCGGAGGAAATATCGTGAAATATCTGTGCATGGGGCCTCTGAGTCAGAGCTAACTATAGCCCAGCAGTTTTTAGATCGTTGTTTTAAACGTAAATACATATCTAAGAAATTAGTGATAGGTGACTTACTTAAAACGCAAGATCACAAAATTTGTCGCAAGGTTTCAACTATCCTGAGCCATCCTCTTAGAGCCTACTTCCCTGAGACCAAGATCACGAGGTATAATTTGAGAAATAAATCCCCTGTCATGCCCGCTATTCGCACAAACCGTTTTAAGAATACATTTTTTAATAGAATTGTTTTTAAGTATAATGTAGCTTTGTGAAAGTGTACTTCCTGTATTAGATGTAACATAAGATATGTAATTTTATCTTTTGAACAATAAAGACACACAGACACACAGACACACAGACC